GCTCTTGCTCAGGCTGGTTTCGAACTCCTGAGCTCAAACAATCTGCCCGCCTCGGCCTCCCAGAGAGCTAGGATTACAGGCGTGAGCCAACGCGCCCGGCCCCACCTCAGGATTTTTAAAAACAGAAGTCATTCAGAGATAAATCTTATAAATGAAGCCAAATCATTACAGTTTGGTAAAAGTAATAAAAAGTTTTCCTGTGAGAATGTAAAAACAATTCTAAAAAGAAAAGTCCAAACCTCTTTAGAGCAGGGTTACCTTAAGAATTTCTTTTATTTCTAAAATGAATATTTTAAAGGCAGCCACACTTGATAAAAATTTTAATATATTGAATAAAAAATAAGTTCTCGTTACTTAATAGAGTATAGGTGTGTATGAAGAAAGAGATTTGTATACCCTACAATTGTTTCCACTGAATATCATACTTTATTCACATTTGTTAAATGTGTAGTTATATATGTATATGTATAAAGGCCAGCCTTCCCTTCTAGGAGGAATGGCAGACTTAATTCAAAGCTTTAAAATAGTAGTATGTAATTAGTATACTGCATATGTTGTGTTTAAAGGAGATTTCAAAACCCCTTCATGTAGTAAATGTATGAGTTTAAACTATTTCTGATTAAATATTTTCCTATTAAATTTGGAAAATATACTTTTAACTTTCAAAAAGAATTTTTAATTTCATTTTTAAAAACTTATATGTCCAATAACATTGTAATCATCAAGAATAATGAGTTCCTAAAATAAAGAACACCATATAGCTATTAGAAGTAACATTAGTTAACATGTTTTGAATCTTAACATGTTAGAAGCTAAACTAACTGCTTTGTGTGTGTTGTGTACCTTAATTATCTCAAACCCCCTCTCTCCATGAGAAGGTGATTTTAACCTATTTGACAAATTCCTGGACCAGGTTGAAACATAACGTGTTTATCAACTAATATTAAATTTTCCAAAATCGGAAACATATGCTATATTTTCTCTCACACATAGACACACACACACAGATGGCAGGTTCATTAACAGAAGTAGAAAGAGAACTTGCAGAGATGTGAATAAGTAAATTATTATAATATTCCTTAGTTCCTTTTTTTAATTTTTAAAATGATTTATGGTCACATTTTCTAATTTACTTTTTCTGAAGTCCTGAATTGTACTTTAGTTCTCACTTGTACAAACCCCCTTCAGTCAGTTCATACATGAGCTAGTTGCTACCTAGACATCTTCCTACTATGTGATTCTAAACCATAAATAATTCAACAGTACTAGACTCTTGATCCCAATATTATAATTCTACTTACATGGACTTTTGATCCCAATATTATAATTTCAGTTAAATCACCAAGATAGATTTTTTTCTTAATTTTCACATCATTTTCTGATTTTGTTAGTGACATGCAGTCGGGCCTCTGTATCTGTAGGTTCCACATCCACAGATTCAACCAACCAAAGATCAAAAATATCCTGAAATAAAATCAATTAAAAATAACAATACAGCCTGTAGTCCTATCTACTTGGGAGGCTGACGCTGGAGGATTGCTTGAGCCCAGGAGTTTGAGGCTGTAGTAACCTATGATCATCCCATTGCACTCAGGCCTGGGTGAAAGAGTGAGACCCCATCTCTAGCAAGAAATAATAATAATACAACAATAAAAAACAATACAAATAAAACAATACAATATAATAACTACATAGAATTTACATTGCATTAGTATTATAAGTAATCTAGAGATGCTTTAAAGAGGGTGTGCGTAGGTAATATGCAAAATCTACACCATTTTTTGTATGGGACTTGAGTATCCATAGATTTGGATATTCTCGGGGGTACTGGAACCAATTCCCTATGGATGCCAAAGGGCAACTGTGTATCATATACACCATTTATTAACTTTTCTGCAAATAAATTTTGAGCCTGTTATCAACCAGATTAGTCAATAAATGTACATGTAAAGTAAGAGATGAAAATGCTAAAATCGTTTTTAACTAAAAATGCCGTATGTAGTGTAGAAATGAAAACGATTCCATTACCATCCATTGGGATAAGGGTGGTTATCGCTTAGGACAGGCACTAGGCTTGCTGCTCCTATCATTTACCCTTAGAAGTTTAGGCTCTATTGTACCACAAGCTGTCTCAAATCATTTCCCTGTTTTAGAGGTAAACTCAACAGCCTATGGAATTTCTGTAACTAAACATTTTGAATCTCTAAGAGGGTAAAACTTCAGGGAAAAAAGTAACCTGCCTGACATCCTCAGCTTATTGAACAGTTTTATTAATATTTAATCCTCTCTCCTTTGCATTGGCACCTTAACAATCCTTCCAGCTACGTATCTTAAAAGATGTGATGGAGAAGTTATCAACCGGTGTTTTTAGGTATGCTAAAGTAACCAAATCATTATTCTTCTTTATTTTTCTATTCTCAAGGAGATAAAATGGGTATTTCCATTTTTGTTTCAGTTCGCACAGTATGTCTCTTGCCTCCATATTTTATTATTTGGTTTAAATAGCTGTTATTATTTGTTTTAAATAGCTATTCTTTAATATTTCTCAAAGTGTATCTGATGGTACACCAGTATTCCCAAAGACAGAAGAAGTTTGTGAGTTTTCCTCACTCCATTCCATACTGCTCCACAGTGATGTGCTTTGCCTTATCACCCCTTCCAAAGCAATGTAAAATGACCCCTAGCTTAAAAAGAGGAAAACGCTATGTTTTTTAAGTTGGATCTGTTTATCACTCATAAAAGAAGGAGTGGATAAAATAGGTATTTGTCCCTTCAAAACTTAATCACTTTAACAGTGGAAATACTAATGAATATTTGAATTATTTAAAGTAATGGAATTGAGCTATAGCAGTGGTCATCTACCACCCTTTGGGTTCCAGCTCATCTTTAACTAGACCTGACATTTCTAATAATTTCCTTCTTCCTCAGACCTCAGTTGGATGAACCCATTCCACTATATGAGGCGAAAGTTTCCATGGAAGTTGTTCAGAAAAATCAAGGAAGAAAAAAGCAAGTCGTTCAATTTTAATTTTCTTCTTTCTCAAAACTTCAGTTGGATGAACCCATCCTGTATTTGAAGCCAGAGTTTTCCTTGGAAATTGTTGAGAAAAATCAAGGAAGATAAAAGCAAGTTCTGGTTTTAAGCATGTTTTCCTGCTGTGTAAGACAAGATGCTCAGTTTTATGATACATTTGAAAAGTATTTGAAAAATGATTGTGCAGACGATCAAGATAATTCTATAACATCTGAAGGGATAGTCTAAAAACCTTTTTAGTTATTGTTTCTATACATTTTGCCTCTGCTATAACATTCTGTCCATGAAGAAAACTGCTGCTTTCAGCAAAAGCCACACTACTCTATTGATAAAGCTGTTACAGGCCTTTGCTAAACTATCAAAATAACGTTATTTTGTATCAGCTCCGTTCTCAATACCTTCCTTCCTTAATATGCCTTTGCTGTCATAATTTAAGCATTTGAGTTTATGTTCAAGTCTCAAAGGATCTAGCCCATAGGCACTTAAATTTTGTTTTCAAATATTCGCTCACTCTGAATTTCCCTAGGATCAAACAAGGGGATTATAGTAACTCGCCAGTGGCAGCGGCAGCGTGTTTGCATGGAGGGTTGGGACGACCAGGCTTTAGGGATTGTAGGGAGGCTGTGCTTGCATAGCAAGCAGGCCGATTTCTTATCTGAGTTCTCCATTTTGAGGAGGTTCAGGGAGGAGGTCGAGCCCCCTCTGGCCACCTCTTGACTGAGCCATAGCCATTGCCCTCTCTAAATTTATTGAAGCAGCAGCCCATCACCGCCGCTCAAGTATGACATTTTCTTTCCATCCCGGCGCTATACTCTGGGCTGATCACATCCCTGCCTCGGGCTTAAATAGCTATGAGCTATTTCGGTGCCCAACGGGGTAGTGCACACCGGTACCCGGAGCCGCATGCTCCCCAGCCTCGCCACACCTGGCGACTGGACTGTGGTCGAGGACCTGGCAGCAGCGCCAGGGCGGGGTCACGACTGGGCCAGGGAGCGGTGGTAGCCTCCGACGAAAGCGGCGTAGGCCGGTGCCTCACGCTCGGCCTATCGCGCATGCTCCGCCAGGCGGCACGTGGGGGCGGGGCCTCAGGGCGGCCTCCGGTCGGCGCTCGGCGCTCGGCGCGGCGCCACGTCGGGGGCGGGGCCGGCCCGCGCGGGAAGTGCTTGAGGGCCGGCTGGCGGGCCTCAGCCGCCGCGCGTTATGGCCCTGTCCGTGCCCGGCTACTCTCCCAGTTTCAAAAAGCCGCCCGAGATATTGCGGCTCCGACGGAAAAGAGCCCGGAACCGCGGGGCCGCAGTCTCCCCGCTTCATGAGCTGCCCCAGCCGGCCCTTCGCCGCGGCTCCCTGACGGCTGGGCTGCTTCTCCGCCGCTTCCCGGCCGCAATGGGCAGAGGCGGCGACTCCCGCGGTCCCGCCGCGGCCCGAAGGAATCCGTTCGCTCGCCTAGACAATCGGCCGCGGGTCGCCGCGGAGCCTCCCGACGAGCCTCCTGGCGGCCAGCAGGAGGCGCCGGACCCGGTGAGTGTTCGCGCCTGGCAATGGGGGGATCTTGTCTTTCGTGGGTTGACCCAGCTGTGAAGTCGGGGATGGAAAGGTCTCGCGTTCGAGGCAAGAAAATGGGCGCGAAGAGCGTCGGCCACCCGTGGCCTTGGGTTGCCTCACGTTGGGAGCGGCGGCACTTCTGAAAGGTCGGATTTGTGGGCAGTGCGTCCCGCAAGCTGCCCAGCTACAGGGTATGCTGACCTGGCGCGTCGTCGCCTTTCGGGGGGAAGCGAAGGGCGCCAGAATGGGCCACCCACACTGGAATCCAGCTCGTAGCCCTCTTTTAGACGGCTTAAAAATAAATCGGAAGATAGGTGAAAAAATTCTTGAAACAACCCATTCTGGAAGGCAGCTGTTTGATGGAGCAAGTTACGAGACCCTGCTTTCCCACCGTGATTCAGGGGCTCTCTTCTCTCATTGAGGATTATTCTGCGATGGAAGAATTTTGATTCATGGGGGTTAGAATTTACTAGCATTTTCCTTTCCCCAAAACTTTTTGGATCTTTTGGTTTGAAGCACTGGCCTTTTTTCCCTTTAATTTTGATATTAAAGTTCAGACACAGGCCGGGCGTGCTCACACCTGTAATCCCAATACTTTGGGAGGCGGAAGCGGGAGGATCTCTTGAGCCCAGGAATTGAAGACCATCCAGGGCAACATACCAAGACCCTGTCTCTACAAAAAAAAAAAAAAAAAAAAAAAACTAGCCAGGTGTGGTTGTGCTAGCTACTTGAGAAGCTGAGGTGGGAGGATGGCTTGAGCCCAGGAGGATGAGGTTAGGGTGAGCTATAATCTTGCCACTGCACTCTAGCCTGAGTGACAAAGCCAGACCTGTGTCTGAAGTTCACGCACAAAACCAAAGTGAAACTGTTCGATTGATTTGGGTGTGTATGAATTTGGTTGCGTTTGCATTTACTGAAAAATCTGTATGCCAGATGAGGCTCTGTACATGTTGAAAGCAAACTTCAGCATCGTTTAAGTTAAAAAGGACAATTTTTTTAACCTCAGTTTTTAGAGTCTAATCAAGAAAATGATTTTCTATGGGAAGAGATGTTTCCTGAAAGAACAACTGTTACTGAAATACCCAAGGTAATACTTTTTAAATATCATTAGAGTGTATATTTTTATAAATGTATACTTCTCAGAAGCATTTTGCTTGGAAAGTGATTTTGCAGGGAGACTTGAGAGTATCATCTCTACTGGGGATGAAAAAATGGCATCAGCCAAGGTAGAGGACTTGGAATGGTACGGTGATGATGTCTGTAATGGCAACCAGCAATAAAGGAGGCCTAGTAGATGTGGATTTTTCTTTCTACCAAACAGTTTTTAACACTCTTCTTTGGGTAATTGACTCCTCCAGCTCATCACTCAGAGTCAACCCCTCCAGGTTGAGCTACTTTTTGAACTTCATCCTTTACCAGATCTTCAAACCAAATCCCTAAATGACCACCACAAGTTGTGGCATAGCACTGAACTTCATTCCCCTCCCTGAGCACACATATGCACACAGACACACTTGTTTCTATTCCAAGTACTTCTGTTGTGATATGTAGTTTGATAAATGCATAGTTTGTCCTAATAGGAACAGGCTGGAAGAGTTCCTAAGATCCATTCTCCCTTACAAATAAATGGCCTTCATGTGGTCTGTTGGAGATAGTTCCCCCTTCCCTGATATTTTGTTGTGATGTTACCTAAAAGAATCCTTGTAGTATGTAGAAAATTGACCTGAAACGACAGCAGCCAGGTTGAGGGAAAATATCTGAGGTCTGGAAATGTTTCTTAAATACAGCCTTTATATAATGGCCATTTGGTAAAAAAAAATAAAAAATATATATGGCCTTTAAGGGCCCTACCTAAGTTACTTGCAGAAGGAGCAACTTAGTTTTGCTTCAAGAGTTTAAGAGGCCTAAAATGTGCTTTTTTAAATACTTGGAAGATTTCTACTTTGATAGCAACATCTGCAGTACTATAAAGAACTGTATAAACTAAAAAGTGAAATGTGCCCCTCTGCTCCTACCACCCCCAACAACAAATTCCTACTTCCAAGAGGTAACCACTGTTAAAAGTTTAGTGTGGCTGCTTTCAGACTTTTTCACAATATGTATAGTATATTTTTAATGTTATTTATTATATAGTTTATATAATTTTTGATTTTTCATATATATTAGTATGTTAGCTAATGAAATCTTTAGGTTGAAGGTTTTTCTTGGTACTCTACTAATTTGTATCTTTTTTTTTTCTAAAAGATTTCCCATATATCATTCTCCAAATCTGATATTCCATCCTCAGAAAGTACTGAGTTACCTGTGGACTGGAGTATTAAAACTCGACTCCTTTTCACCTCTTCTCAACCCTTTACCTGGGCAGAGCATGTGAAAGCACAGGAAGAGGCTCAAGGGCTTGTCCAGCATTGTAGGGCAACAGAAGTTACTTTGCCTCGAAGTATACAGGTAATTTTGAAATAAAACAGCTATGTGTTAAAGTAACAAGTGTTCTTCTTTGTGTAATATCAGAGATACTGCTTTCCGTTAAGTTTTTCTTCAGACATTTAAGGGTACAAAGACTTGGAAAGTTTTGTTTTTCCAAGATAGTGCTTTCATACAGCCTTTTATGTGATTAACTGCCCATTAAATTTAGAGACCTGTCCTCAGAATTAATCAATGTTGCAGGCAGGAATTGTTTGAACTAAACCATTCTTTCCTAAAGCTTTTTGTGAAAGAAAACACAAGGAAAATAAATGAAAAGCAATTGAGTAGGATTGCAAGAACAGATGGATTTTACTGATTTTCTTATACATACTTTGGTTTTTTATACGTACTGATTCTTGCTACCTCCATAGTGGTCTCTTGTAAATTAAGTGGAGGTAGTAAGTTATAAAATGGTTTTAGAGAAATACAGTGCAATTAGTTTGAAGTATCACATCAACTCAAACTAGGTTAAAAAGAATTACCTACTCAAAAAAAAAGATTACCTAAAAGAGGTCTTGTTGCATACATCTTTTCAATAAATAAATCAGGATGATTTGTGATTCACATTATTAGTGTTTGCTGGCTACTTTTGAAACAGTGTTTTGGCAGGGCAGGGGGTAAGGGGAGTGGTGGGGTGTTAAACATAGTGATACCAACGTGCGCGCGCACACACGCCTCATAATAAAAAAGATAGTCATTGTTCTCAAGGTTGGTAGAGACGGGGTGGGGGCGGGGGGAAGTTCCCATCTGTGTTTAAATGTTCCTTCTGACACATGGTTTAACAGATGAATTTCTGGCCCGAAAGGATTTCCCAAATAAGAATAATCTACATTTTAGCCCCCATAACAGTTGTTAATGCTTTCCTATAGATAGCAATAAAGATTCTTAGACTAAGTGTGTGGTATATTCATTGTCCCTTTAATGAAATTCTATGTTTCTCATGGGGCAAAAACCGCCCCACTATCACCTCTGGATTTTAGGATCCCAGACTCTCCACTGAGCTCCGTTGTGCCTTCCAACAGAGCCTTATCTACTGGCTCCACCCTGCCTTGCCTTGGCTTCCACTGTTCCCTCGTATTGGAGCTGATAGGAAAATGGCTGGAAAGACAAGCCCTTGGTCAAATGATGAAACACTGCAACACATTTTAATGAGTGACTGGTAAGATAAGTTTAAAAAAAAAAAAAAAAAACTTGTGTAATCCAACAGTGAATTTTCATCTTAGCAGTATTCTCTCCTTATCATATTTTGTGATGTTGTTATGCATAGTGGCAGAAAGATATCTGTGTCCTTCTGAATTTTATCGGAAACTGCTCATAACCAACATGTAAACTGTTTACTTTTTTTTTAAAGCTCTTATTCACTCTTTTTCCAATCGTGGAGTATATATAAGAGTTTCATAAATCTATACAAACATAATTCTTTAAGTGACTTCTTGTCAGTGGCTGTTTCCTTCTCAATCAGCAGAAGTTGCTCAGAGAAAGTCAGCAACCAGTTATCAATTAAGTTTTGTTTAAAATAAAAATGATAAGTGTTTAAGTAGTAAACACTATTCGTTAAAGTATGGAGAAGTAATCACATCCCCATTACCAATTTCAGTCCTGTACAGCTAAGTTGTATATAACCACAAAAATTCAAACTAGTATCTGAAATATTTCTGTTCTGTTTTAAACCAGTGTAAGTATTAAACTGAATTATACAAAGTCGTATTTTAAACATTGAATTAAATCCGTGGTCCCCAACTCTCAGCCTATTAGGGACTTGGCCACAGAGTGCCACCGCCACTGCCCCCCTCCCCTCACTGTGCATGGAAAAATCACCTTCCATGAAACTTAGGGACAGGGAGAAGGGGACCACACAGCAGGAGGGAAGCTTCATCTGTATTTACAGCCACTCCCCATTGCTTGCATGACCACCTGAGGTCTGCCTGCCCCTCCCCATCTGTGGAAAAATTATCTTCCGTGACACTGGTCCCTGGTGTCACAAAGATTGGGGACCACTGAGTTAAATGTTTAATAATTGCTAAAGAACATTTTTTTTACTTCATAGGTCTGTGAGCTTTACTTCTCTGTATAATCTACTGAAGACAAAACTTTGCCCCTATTTCTACGTTTGTACCTATCAGTTTACTGTCTTGTTCCGAGCAGCAGGATTAGCAGGAAGTGATGTGATCACAGCTCTTGTATCTCCTACAACTCGAGGTTTAAGAGAAGCTATGAAAAATGAAGGTAAAAGTTTAGGTTTAGATTTACTAGACTATATAATAAACTCTTGCCTTAAATGCTGAAATTTGGGTTGTCTTTTACCAATTAATTCCCAATACTATTTTAAGAAATGTATTTCTTTATTTTGGGTTTTTCTTCCTGTAAATTACTTAAGCTGTTCCTAACACATAGCTTTAACTTGATGGTGTTCCCTCCTCTGATCTCTTAAATAAAACATATGAGTGGATCATGAAATCTATTTAATGGGCCCAATCAGCACTTTTTTAAAAAGTGAATTGGAATAAAATATATGAAAGAGTATCACATGTATGTAATGAGTGTATATATTGTGTCCTGAACCTTTTGTTTCTAGATGTCTGTGTTTATAGGTTTGTGTGTTGTGGGCTACTATTAAGAAAGCTTGAAAACTACTGCCTTTATAGAGCAAATTTAAAAACTCACATTTCACATTTTTTACACTCTAAAAGTAGGGCACATCTGTTAAATACTTTTTTTAAAAAACTCAGGTAAATTTTTTTCTCTCGTGTAGGTATTGAATTTTCTCTGCCTTTAGTAAAAGAAAATGGCTGTAAGAAGAGAGCATCTGGAGCAAGCTTGGGATATGGAGAGTATGTGATTAAAATAACTTTTTACATTGTCTAGTGATTTACAGACTCAGTGAAATAGATTTGTAGAGTTAACAACTTTGTGAAATGGGGACTCTAACTATAGCGATTTCCTAGGGAGCAAGTAATCAGTGATGAGGATGAAGAGGAAAGTTTTTCCTGGCTGGAAGAAATGGGTGTGCAAGATAAAATTAAAAAACCAGACATACTCTCTATCAAGCTGTATCCTTTCAGTTGCTATTAACTAGAATTAAATTTTGTTGGATTAAGTTAGTGAGGAATTTAACATTGGCTGGCTGTTTTATATGAATATAATCTAAATTCCATTCAGATTATATTAAAACTGATTCTCCCTTATAACATTAAGTAACAAGCCCCTAAGTATCAATAAACCATGAACTATTAAACTTTTTTTTTTAATGAGAACATTCAATTTCAGTTAAATTTGTGGGAACACAGGTATATTTTTGACTAGAGAAGAAATATTTTTTATTTGGTATCGTTTTCTAGCAAATTCAGATGGTTAACATTTTGATTCAAACATATGCCTTATGACTGCAGTGAAGAGTGATAGCATGAGCATCTATTTTGTTATGGAGAAAAGGGGTCCTGTATGATTCAGAATCCAGATAACTGCCTTCCACGTTGGTGTAGGATTTGCTTTTGCAATTTCCTTAATTGTCACCTCCAGACGTAAAGAGAAACATGAAGTACAAATGGATCACAGACCTGAGTCTGTTGTGTTGGTGAAAGGAATCAACGCTTTTACATTGCTCAATTTTTTGATCAACTGTAAGAGTTTAGTTGCTACCTCAGGTCCACAGGCAGGACTACCACCAACCCTCTTAGCCCCTACAGCTTTCCGAGGTGCCACAATGCAAATGCTTAAGGTAATAAAGATATTCAAAACTTCACCTGTCCCTACAGCCTAGTTTTTTAAGTACTTTACTTTTTTTCATAAGGTAAATTCTTGATTTGTTTTTTTAAATAAGTCTTAGCATTTAACTTGCTACATATTTTAATTTTACTTTCCTCCCTTAAAAAACCACAAAGACCTTTGATGTAAGACAATTATTTCAAAGAAAGTATTTTTCCAATATTCTGCAGTGACAGTGGATTACTAAATCAAGTAAGACGCTATACAAAAAAAATTGTATTCTCTAGAGCAGCGGTCCCCAACCTTTTTGGCACCAGGGGTGGGTTTCATGGGAGAGTTTTTCCATGGAATGGGGGCTGTGGGGATGGTTTCAGGATGACTCAAGCACATTACATTTATCGTGCAATCAAATCTCCGCTAATGATGATCTGTATTTGCAGCTGCTCTCCAATGCTAGTATCACTACCTCAGCTCCGCCTAGATCCTCATGTGTGCAGTTTTCAGTAGGTTGCAGGCTCCTGTGAGAATCTAGTGCTGCTCCTGATCTGACAGGAAGCGCAGCTTTTGCGGCGATAGGCGTGATGGGGAACGGCTGTGAAATAGAGATGAAGCTTCACTTGCTCTCCCACCACTCACCTCTTGCCATGTGGCCCAGTTCCTAACAGGCCATAGACCAGTACACATCTGCAGCCTGGGGGTTGGGGACCACAGCTCTAGAGTATACTTAACCTGAAAATGTCATATGTTAGAGAGGGTGTTGGAGAGTGTGCTGGAGACTTTATTTACTAAACATTTTTACTCACATAACATTGTTTAGATGTCTTAGAAGAAAATTTTTTACAACTTTAACATTTTGTATCTTAGTTTTTTTATTTTTTGTAGAGGCAGGGTCTCAGTATATTGCCCAGGCTGCTCTTGAACTCCTAGGCTCAGCGATCTTTCCACCTTGGCCTCCCAAACTGCTGAGATTACAGGCATGAGCCACCATGCCCAGCCAGAAAATACTTTTGTTCTGTAACTATTCAAGAGAAGAAACCCCAAATGGAAATACTGAACACATTTTTAGCTAGGGGAGAAAAGCTTGAGAGATGGTGATCATAATTTTCTTTTTCTTTAAATTTTCATGAAGGCACGAAGTGTAAACGTGAAGACACAAGCTCTTTCTGGATATAAAGATCAGTTTAGTTTGGAGATTACAGGTCCTGTCATGCCTCATTGTCTGCATTCTGTGACCATGCTCCTCAAATCTTCACAGAGCGGATCTTTCCATGTAGGACTGTATCCCCACGAGCCAACTGCTGTATTTAATATCTGCCTGCCAGTAGACAAAGTACTGCATAAGGTAAGTAGACACCTATAAACGTACTATTTTAGTTGTAGCTAGTTTCCTCAAATTAGCTGGAGGAAGTGGGTCATTTATGAGTCACTTTGTGTTTCGAGTTATAGAACTGTTACTACTTAATTTTATCAGTTATTAATTACTGAGAGGAAGGAATGTCTTTTACACCTAATTTTTGTGAGATAAATTTTATTCAGTCCTTTCTACTTATAACAGTGACTACAGAACTTCCCAAACACAAGACAGTATTTTTCATTGTCCTCTCAGATCGAAAACATTAATAGTTCCTGATTGCTTTATAATTTAAGGAAACCTGATTCACTATGGGTATTTACTTAACTATATTTGCCTTTAATTTTGAAGTTTTTATTTAGAGAGTTATACTAAGTAAGACTGAAAATTGCCTCATACTTACCAGTTTGCAAGACTTGTTTTAAAAGTAACCAGCATCAATATTTTGGGATTTTGTCACTGCAGAAATTCTTAGGATCAACTTCTATTACTAGGATGTTATGTGAATGAGCCATTTATTTGTCAAAGTCTCCATGGTAATTATTTAAAAACTCTTGAGTGTTCAAAGACTAATGTGCTTTTTACTGAACAGGAGGTTGTTCATAAGGAGCTTGCTAACTGTGGTTTACACCCTAAGACTCTGGAGCAACTTAGTCAAATACCATCACTGGGGAAATCATCTTTACGGAATGTGGAAATGAGAGACTACGTTTATAATTGGAGATCCTGAACACCAAAGTAAGCCTAAAAGGAATCTTTGAGGAAAAAAGCCTTCTAGCAAGGAAATTCAAGATTCTTGAAGTTAAAGAAAGGAATATACTTAAAAATATGAAATGTTTATAAACATTAACTTTTTATTACATGCACTGAGCAGTAGCATTAAGGTTTTAAATCATTTTCTGCTTTTACTATTTTCAGATAAGATTTTCAGATGTGACAATAACCCAAACTTTTTTTCCAAAAAAAAAAAACCTCAAATAACTTGAATGAGAAGTCTGCATCCCTACAACCTAATTGTAAACTGAGTAGAAAACTGGATTAATGTGTTACCTTGCAAATGGGAAATTGAGACTAAACCTGTAGCAATTATCTCATGGCATTGTGACAAATAGCATCAGGGCAAAATTATGTTACTTTAATATTTACCTAATACTACTAGCAGGTTCTTGTTTATAAAGATAGAAAATAAATACAAACACTATCTACTGAGCTGACTGTTGATACTTCTACCTTAGCATCTTTCCTACTGATTTATAATTCCTCTATTCTCAAGTATACTTAAATTTGTCTTTTTAAATGCATGTTAATTCAGATAAAAGGGTATTCTGTATTCCACACAGAATAATTTTAAGAGGAGTTGTAAAGTCTGCTTAGTTGTCATGGCAAAGTAGTATTTAATGTGCTTATGGGTGAGTGTGCGTGTGTATGTGTGTGTGTGTAACTCAAATTTTTTTAAATAAAAGTACTTAGAAATCAAAAGCATTGGGTAAAGATATAATAGTATTTAAGTATGTATTCACTTTATAATCCAGAAAATAAAAACACCACATTTATTCCAGAGAAGTTTGTATTTGGGCCTTAAGCTTTTGAAAATAAAGTTTAGAGACATAGCATATGAATACCACTGTAATACACATGAAATATTCTATAAGACCCTAAAAATTAACATAAACTTAAAGTTTCTCTCATAGTCAACAAAATAGTGGCTGGTTGCCAATTTTATTAGATAAGTTGGTTACAGCATTTTAATTATCATTTTACGTCTATCTAGGTGTAGCTGAAATTCAAAATGCACATCAAAGTAAAACTATATCACAACTCAATGCCATACTAAATGTACTTGGCCTCTGCAGTAGAATTCTAATCAGACTTCATTTTTGACTCCCTTATGACCCAAGTGGCTTTAATAGGAATGCAGGACTTAGTGCTGATCATCACACAACATACCACTTTCTTTTTATAACCTCTACAAAATTTTAAGGGGAGATGGTGGCATTAGCCCTGTGGAACAGATCTTGCTTGATTACCTCAATAACACTGGCCCAGTATCTGTCCAGCAGAACCCATTGTGAAATAGTACAAGGTGCACAGCCCTTCTCTGATTACAGGCAAGTGTTACAGCAGCCTAGCCATAAGGAAGGGGAGTTACATCATAGTACAAAATACAGTATAAAAGCGTTATTTAACATTCCACACTGAAGATTACTGATGCCTTCAAACAATCGTTTGGATGTTAGCCACTTAAACAAATACATCACTAAGGTAAACAATATAAACATACCAAAACCCTGTATGGTTAAATACAATTTCCATGGTACAAAAATCAAAGCCTGGAGATGTTTGTACAGATTGCTTTTTACACAATGTCTTAAATTGCCAAATATTTACAACATTAAAGAGGATACATTGTGATGCAGAGTAAAATTATCTGAAATGATTATTATAAAACCTCAATCTATCTACGTGAGGCACTCCTGAAGCAAGTGGCATTAGCCATGAGGTCCTTTGGTACAAGGCCCATTGCTTGAAGAACCACAGTAGCTGCTGTGGCTTTAGCATGCTTCTTATTAGGGCTGGCAAAGCTGGGCTGGTAAGCGCTTCCATTTATCAATACCTATTCAAGAAAAACATACAATTGGGCTGGTAAGGGCTTCCATTTCTCAATACCTATTCAAGAAAAACATACAATAAGAACAGCATCAAACTTTAATATCTATTAGCTTTGTATTTTTTCACTAAATGCTAGAAAAATAATTTACAAAAATATAAACCCATACTATGTAAGTCAAATTAATTTCAACCCAGAAGCAGTAAATCATTTGGGAAAAGGGACTGCAAATTAAGAGCAGATCTCCAAATTGAAAAAAAATAAAACACCACCTGATAAAAGTACTAAACCGATTCCCCATATTCCACTAGAAAATATCAACAAATTGTGCACCAGATTTTTGCCCACATCTTCCCTCTGGTTTTTTAAAACAAGATACTCACAAGTCGTATTAAAGCACCCTTCGGTATTTTAAAACCCGACCACTCACCCACACATACGAACCCCCGCCCACAAACAGAATCTTAATCCTGTGATCATGTTTAGCCCTCACCCTCTAACATTAAATTATCAAATTAATATACACAATTAATGCAAAAATTCATATTTACCCTAAAGAGAAAATGTTTGCGATGGTCAGGGCCACTATCATGGACCAAGAGAAATTCTGGTGGTTGCCACCTTCTCTTATTACAGATTTCCATCAAGGCAGACACAGGATGCTTGCCTACCAAAAAATAAATAAAATAACCTTGTTATAAATTATTTCCAACAACTTTTATAACAAATTATGAATTCAAGGTGGGGGTGGAACAAGAAGGAATTCAAAAATGTGCTCTCACCTGACAGATCTTTCATTGCTGCAGAGAAGTTCCCAGACCTCTTTTGTGCTCTTTCTCCTACTGCAACAAGACCTTTAAAAAAAAAAAAAAGGCCATCGTTCACTAAATAAATCTAAACTATAATATAGAAAAGCAGAGACTCCTTGTGTAGGAGCCTGAACCTAAATCCATGCCTTCAAATAAAATCAATTTCCTACTACACTTGATTTCTACATCAATTTTAACTTCTCTTGCTGTGTTTCAATATATAAATTTATATTTTATGTTCATATGCCTTAGTATTAGAAATTGTATAAATAGCAAATGTGCACAAAATATAAGAGTTTAATATGTGAATATGTATACAATTACATATTCAAATTAAATGTCATGTAATTATCAACACCTCCATGTCTGTTTCTTTACAAGTTTAAAGTAGTGGCTATCACAAGTGATTTCTGCAGGTTTACTGTCTCAAAAACTACTCAGTTATTAGTATGTTCCCAAAAAGGTTAGCACTTCATGCCACCAGAAAAAAGGGTGAATAAGGCAGTGGTCTAAAAGGATAAATAGATACCCCCTTTTTCCCCAGCAAATGCTCACTTTCTTAACAAATGTGAGATGTTCTCAAAATATAAACGTAACTTCTCTATATAACCTCCTCCCTCCCCACAGGTCTATTTCAAAGAGAACTGTATTACTAACTCAAAACAATGCTTTCCCAATTTCTATATAGTTTGCCTATCCCTTATCCAAAATGCTTGGGACCAGAAGTGTTTTAGATTTTTTCAGATTTTCAATGTCTGCATTATACTTACAGGTTGAGCATCCCAAATCCAAAAATCTGAAATCCAGAATGCTCCAATGAACATTTCTTCTGAGCCTTACCTTATGTCAGTGCTCAAAGTTTTAGATCTTGGAATATTTCACATTTTCAGATTTAGTATGCTCAACCTATATATTATAGGAAAATTTTCAGCCACTCCTTTGCTAATTAATTCCTGGGAAATGTATGCTGTTCTCTTGAGAACTTACACCCAGACCATGTTGCACAACTCCAACATGGAATTCTGCAATACATATTTGGTGTAAAACTAGTTCATTTCCTAAAACATTATTCCAAGGGGTGTTATCTATGGGAACTAAGTATACATTTAAATACTTGACAACTACATACAGGCTATATAGATCCCCCTCACTCCCCAAGTGTCTGAAGATGTAGGAAAATACAATCAGTGCTAAAAGTTCCAAAGTGCCCTAACAGAAGACAGTTAATAAGAGGTAATGGCTGTTATCAGGCAGTCAGACTACTATTCTCCAGCTCCAACCAACGTAACTATTAAGCTTAGAAAGAGGGACAAGCAAAAATGTTTATGAAGACAAAATAGTACTTTAATAGGAAATAATGAAAATGTGTAAAATATCTGACAAAAAATAACTTGTGGGAAAAGCATACTCCCTATCAAGAGAAAACAAAATGGAAATTTCATTTTCTAAACATGAAATCTAGTTACTTTTGTAATCATATAATTAGATATATGCACATTTCCATAATAGTTGGCTATTAAAAGCTCAAACTAGTGTCTCCATCATAGTTATATAAAAATAAGCTGCTGTGTGTGAAAATGGGTTAAAGTTTTTTCTGACAAAAAACTATACATATACAAGAAATAACTCTAGTTCAGGATCACAGGAATTAAAGGAATGTATAAAAATGAAACCCTAAATGTTAAAGGAGGTATGATAAACATTCCAAAAGAGAACTTGTTACCTTTTCGGTCTGTCTTAAAATCAACTAGGATGGGTTCCTTATTTCCTTCTTTGTTTTTTCCTAATCCTTCTCCTTCTCTCCAGCCCATTTTTCTCATCAAAACGGCTCCCATTCCTCCAGTTACCGGAGCTGCTCTTAAGAACTGATCCTATTCAAGGAAAAGAAAGGTAAAATGTCCCAATTTTACAGTTAGAACTTGACTACAGGCTCACTGGTTACTTTCTAAAGAGGAATCTTATTTTGCTTCTAGATCTGTTACAGGTATAGCAATTAAATGTAAATGTTTCTATACTTAACACATACTGTAGTGTTCTATGTTCTAATTATTTTCACATTAACATTATATTATCTTGGAAGTCAAATAAGACAAGTAAATAGCAGTTTTAAAACAGTAGCCCTCATGCCCCCCTCCAAAAAAAAAATAAGAACACTCCTCTTTTCGTCCACTATTTAGGTTCACTGGTATCTCTTCTTAGCTTGCAAAATAAAAAGAAGGCAATGTTAAAACAGTCAATAATATTGTGCCAGGTGTACCTAGTTTATGAATAAAGCCCAGAAATCATTTAGAAATAGTTTGGACACTGAAGAAGCATACTGTCGTCATCCAAAGTTTTCTTCCCCATTTTACTATAAAGCAAGTATAAATATTTTACTTAGAAAATCCCTATAAAGCAAAAAGATAACTCTTTAAAATAAATATAGTAATAAATAGAAGAGAATCACATAACATGCCCTGTAAGTACACCAAAATGAATCTGAATTCCTTTAAAACCTAGCTTGATGTTAAAAGACTTTTAAAAAACTCCTTAAATGTTTACATACCTAGGCCTCGGTAGCAGCAGTGTTGTGAATAGTACGGCTGGCACTGACCGGGGCAAGAAGACAGCTACAAGGATTTGGCCCTGAAACAAGTTTCCATACAGAGGGGTGAAAGTTCACAGGTTATTCTGTGAACAATCATCTCTCTTGTATCCAACCCACTGAACCATAATTTCCATCAAAGCAGCAAACCACTTAATGTCCTAAGATGCACAACTATATATCCATTAGCATGGTGAACAGT